ATGTCTGGAAAACTAATATTAAGAAATGACAATCTTTTAAAGGGCCTACTGAGCCGGTCTGTGTCTCTCCATTTAATTCAATAAACAAGAGGGACAAAAGAAGGTTTCTCAACAAATGAATGACATGATCAAAGCTGTGTGCTTTAAAAAGAAAAAAACAAACAAACAAAAAAGCTGGTATTGAATGTAATGAATGAATTAGCACAAAGAAACACTAGAGGCAAAGAGAATTACATAAAGGCAACTGTTATTAATACAATCCACAGATTAGAAATTAGAATTGAAACTAGGCTAATAGGAGGTAGCATAGACAGGAGAGACAAGGTTCAAGAGGAACTTACGGAGGATGAACCTCAAAACTTGAAATATTAAGTGGACACAGAAAGTAAATGTGAAGAAAAAAAATCAAAGATAATTGATACATATTTTAAGCCCGGATGAATAGTAAATGTTTTTAACAAAATTGGGACTTCAGAAGGATCTAATTGTCAGGAGAGATGGGATTAGCTAGAACAAAAGCATGGTAATAAGGTTATACTGAACCAAAATGTAAAATTATTGGGCTCATATGTGTAAAAGAAGGATTTTCGCTGAAAAACAAGGTTAGAGGGCTATTTTGAATTCTTGCCACTCGCAATGATAATCCATTTAGCAATATTCTGAAAATATTAAATCTAATTCCACCTTATTACTATGCTATTTTGTATTTATAGTCAAATATAGAGTTTGACTATAGGTTTAGTGAAGTTAAATAAATAATACCTACCTTACTGAGTTGAACATTAGATTTGTTTGAAAAACTACTGTAAAAAAGCAATTAAATATCAGTAGAATATTTTTCATAAAAGCCATTTTATATAAGGTAAAACTTATATAAGATTTAGGTCACTAAGTCTATATTTAATATGCTATAAATAACTAAAATGTGACAGCACTAGTCAGCAGTCCAATATTTTTGCAACTTCATAGTAAACAGTGCCTATAATAGTTCATTCTAAACTGAAACATTAATGCAGCGGGAAGTACCAATTTAAAATGAATGGTTCTTCCATTAAAGTCATTTTTTTCATGGCATATAATAAGGCCAGAATTAATTTAAACTTGAATTAACAACCTGACAGACTATAAATGGACATTTTATAATAAGAATTAACCTTCAGAAAGACTGTGAAGAACATATTTACTATAAAAATAACTAATTTCAGGCCGGGTGCGGTGGCTCACGCCTGTAATCCTAGCTCTCTGGGAGGCCGAGG